ACCATTTGTATAGCGTGCTAGCTTTAGTAGACCGCTTTGACCTTATCTTTGATTCTCACTCCTCCTCCCAGTATGTTGTGGCTTCCTCATAGTCAGCTCATCTGTTTTTCACTCCATGTCTCAACCCCTGGTCCACTAATGTTGGCTGATTTGTTAAGCTGAACCGCGCGAGGCTTCTGCTTCAAAGTTTGGTTTGGCAGTCTGCCTCTAGCAGGTGGGAAACTGACATACATGGGCTGTGTGTTTGATTCCCGATTAACACATTACTGAGCTGTTTCAGCTTAGAAAAGTTCCAAAGCCCAGTTGGAGTGATGTAAATAGTCATATGCCCATGCAAAACAGAAGAGCATTGTTTTTGTTCATTCATTGTTCTTAGAAAGGTCTCATTAATTATTAGCCCGATGGAGGATAGGAGTTGGTATTTCTCTGTCTGTGCCTTCTTGGCCTTTGGCAGCAGAGAAAAGGATGTGAATTCTGCCCACAGACTGTCCGCCCTGCAGGGCTGACTGCCAAGCGTCACATGCCTGCTGAGTTGATGCTGCGTTCTCTTTCCTCCTTTGTATTTCTCAAGGCTACTGTTGTTGGCCTTTCTGCCTGGTGTCCCTGAGTTATAGCCCTTTTAGTTCTTTGAGTGATGAACTCCAAGCATTGTTGAGCAACTGAAGCAATCTTTATGGGGTTTGAGTTACCTTCACTAAGGAAGCCAGGCATGCTCTTGATGGCTCGTCGGTACCAGGCTGATCTTCTAGGATGGCATGTATTACACTTGTTATAGCCTTGGTCCTGAAACTTGTGGCTATAACTAATACCAGCTTATGGTCCTCAATACTCACAATTTGCTCCCTGGTGTTCCAACCCTCCAGAGAGAGAGGAGGCAGGGAGGCGAGGGAAGAGGATGTAAGTAGTGTTTGAGGCCTGTGGTCTCACCACAAGTCCTGGAGGAAGGGGTCTTCTTCTGGAAGGAGCACATGAAATAGTTCTCACAGTTAGCTGACCTTGCCTTTTCAGGCCCACATTCCATCTTGTATTTCATTTGTGCTGTCTTGCTTTGTTTCTCTTTGTAACATCTCATATACACAAATGTCCAAGCATCAAAAGGAAGCACAGTTGCTTGGAAGGATGATGGCTAAGCATTGTAAATGAGCTTCTTCCCATTTGCTGGCTCACATGTTTGTGAAATGATTTGTAAGAGTTTCGTGAACCGTTGTCTGATGGAATGGAACTAATTAATGCTTAACTTCTCTACCTTCTAACCTCAGCTCACCTTTATACTGTGTTCTAGCAACAGCTGTGGTCTTAGGTGACCCCATTACCCAGAGTTACCTATTTTGCTGATGAATGTGGAGAACAGAGAAAACTGAGGATAGGAAAAACCTCGGAACATTTCTCTTTCCTTATTCTTTGTGTTGCCGTTTCTTTCTGTGCATTTTATATAGTCCTCTCTTTCTGAAGTGGGAAGCACTTGAACTTATGTAAGACTTAGGTTTCAACACTCACCCCAGTGCTGTAGTTCCCTCTCTCTGGGATGCAGCCCTGACTTAGTGGTTACCTTAAGTACTAAGCAGAATGGTGGCACAATGCCCTGCGAGGCTGGAGAGATCTAGGTAGAGCCCCCTTTCATTCTCCTGCTGACCATACAAAACATTATTTGATATAAATCTCTCCGCTGTATCTTTATAGAAAAGCAAGAGAAAATGTTACACATTATGTCAAGTGGAAGGTGAGGTAGTTAATGAATACAGTTCATCTTAGTGCAGTGGTAGTTATCACACATGAGGCACTATGGACAGAGAAGGTAACTTCCCTGCCCAGTTAGCGAGCTGATGAATAATGCAGATTGGCCAGTAGATGTTTTATGTGGGAGTACCGGGTGCTGAGTGGGCATGGCTGCTTCCCACTGCGATGGGAGAAAACTTGCTGTTGGGAAGTGGAAGACCAGCCAAGTGAGCAGAGACAAGGGTCGGGGAAGAGTCCTGGAAGGGGGCTCTTCTGCAGCCTGGCTTGTGGAAGAGGGAGCACGTTCTAGCACAGCGAACCATCTAGGACACGAGGGAAGATAAAAAAGCATAGAGTCATCAACAAGAGCTGCCATGCGTTCATCAGCTTAACTGCAGGGAGTGAGGTGGCAAGAGATGGAAGATGAAGCTGTTAATGACAGACGGGCACTGGGGCATGGAAGGCCTCTTTGTCATGCTAAGAAACTTGGTTTATGTCCTCTGGAGAATGGAGGCTATTCATTCCAAGCCCCTGTACTGGGTGGTGACAGGATCTCATTTGCATTTTGTAAGAATTCCTCTGGTGTGGGGCACAGAGTGTATTGGAGGGGGAGGGAGGCACACTGGGGGAAAGGCGTGTTAAGCTTGTACAGAGGTGAGGAGGGTGAGGAGGGTCTGGCCTGAGGCACTAATGGACGGCAAGGATGAAGAGGAGACTTAACCGGGAGTCATTTCGGTTCTCTCCATGACAGGGTCATTGTAAGGGGGTCCGAGTGGCAAGGATGAGTCTCTTAGGTTCTTGTTTGGGGTGTTGCTAATTGAAATGGTAAAAGAAAGATGGGATTTGGGGAAGATGATGAACTCAGGAGGATGGACTCAAGGGGAGTGTGAGAGTTCATCTCATTTGTCAGTTTGACTAGAATTACCTGAGAGATGCGCCTCTGGCTATACCGCTAAGGAATTATATTCATCGCATCCATTGAGATGGGATGACTGCCCCACTGTGGGTGGCACTGTAGCATGAGTCTTAAAAGTTCTTATTAATAAAATCAAACCCGAGGCCAGTTATTGGGGTCAATGCTGGTAGATCAGAGAGACAGAACAAGCCACAGCTATCTCACCTTGCCAATTCCTCAGCTGGTCCTGTTTCCTCAGACTGGAAGCTTCTGTGTCCTCATCCCAATGGCTCTCAGCTGAACTGCTGCTCGAAGCCTGAATGCTCAACCAGCCAAATGCTTCTAGTTTTTGGTCCTCACGCCTTATAAACCTTTCTGCTTTCTACCACCACTCCCTGGGATTGAAGGCTGCTTTCTGGGATTAAAGGCGTGAGTCACCATGCCTGGCTGTTTCCAATGCGGCCTTGAACTCACAGAGATCCAGAGGGATTTCTGTCTCTGGAATGCTACGATTAAAGGCGTGTGCTAACATTTTCTAGCCTAAGTATCTTGTGGCTTTTCTGTTCTCTGACCCCAGATAAGTTTATTAAGGTACACAATATTTTGGGGACCACAATACCACCACAGGCACCATTCCCTGCACTCAATCCTGGACTGAATAGAGGAAAGTAAAGGAGCCACAGAAGGCCTTGGTTGCTTCTTCAGGCTCCAGCTGCCTTCACTTCTCTGACATGAGGTGCTGAACCTTGAACTGTGGGCTAGAATAGACCCTTCATTCTTGAAGTTTCTTTTGCCACTGCAACAGGGGAAAGAAAAAACAAAACAAAACAACAAAAAACCAAGATAGGGGATGAATACCAGCAGCCAAGCTTGATACATGGGCTGGAGGCTTAATGGAGGTCAGAGCTAGGAACAGCCTTTGCTTAATCTTAATTGATAAGAATGTTAGAATCAAGTGAAAGGAACTTCTGTCCCTACGCTGTGGCAGAGTGATAAATACATAATCTATCACAAATGAAGCTCTGTTGGAAATTGTCCAATAGATCTCTCCTCCTTCCCACCCGAGTTCTTTCTTTAGTGGAGATGGACCATCAGTGCCTCCCTTTTCTCTGTAAATTCCCTTTGTGCTTTTCTGGTCGACATACAGTTTTGAAATGAGGTAAGATGGAGTTTTGAAGGGTGTTACATTTTAATGTGGTTTTATATAACTCGAAGCTGCATTTTAATGTAGCTCAGCATCTTCCAGTGATTCTGGGAGTACTTCCAAGCAGCTATTATTATTATTATTATTAATTTTATCATTAGTCCCTAGACAAAAGTTTAGAGAAAATTATTAGCCAAGCAAGGAGGCCTTATCCATGTTGGGGTAACTATAAGGACCCCAGATCTTGTGCCCCCAGCTTCTCACTAATGATCTCCTGGAGGTTTTGAGGGACAGCCTTCAGTCTCCCAGTGCCTGTGTGGCAGATTATCTTCCACATCTTCATCATTTCCTGCATTATTCCCTTTCCCCCTTATTTCAGAGGAGTTTAGCAAATCACAGCCTTAGTGTTGATATTCTAATGCTTTATAGTCAACATATGAGTCTAAGACTATGTTCTTATCAGCACCAAGGTTCTTAGCAGCTGTTCCCTTCCTAGCATTTTCTGTTTGAGTAGAGATGGAAAGTTCAGCCCATCTGGCTGGGCTCCATTTACACTGTGACTTCACCTGTCATTCATTCATTCATTCTTTCCATCTCACTGTTTCTTGCCCTTTTTTTTCTTCCTTTGCTTTCTTCTTCTCCTTGCTCCTCCTCTTCTTCTTCTTCTTCTTCTTCTTCTTCTTCTTCTTCTTCTTCTTCTTCTTCTTCTTCTTCTTCTTCTTCTTCTTCTTCTTCTTCTTCTTCTTCTTCTTCTTCTTTTTTCCGAGACAGGGTTTCTCCACGTAGTTTTGGCACCTGTCCTGGATCTCGCTCTGTAGACCAGGCTGGTCTCGAACTCACAGAGATCCGCCTGGCTCTGCCTACTGAGTGCCGGGATTAAAGGTGTGCACCACCACTGCCTGGCGTACTCTCCTTTTTTTTTTTTTGTTCTTTTAAAAATATTTATTAGTGTGTGTGTGTGTGTGTGTGTGTGTGTGTGTGTGTGTGTGTGTGTGTGTGTTGGGGGTGCCAGGGTGTCTCGAAAAACAAAAACAAAACAAAACAAAAACAAAAAAACAAATTCAGATTGTCAAGGTTGGTGGCAAGTGCCTTTACCTGCCAAGCTATCTCACCAGCCCCTCTTTTTTTTTTCTTGCCCCTGGAGCTGAGGACCGAACCCAGGGCCTTGTACTTGCTAGGCAAGCGTTCTACCACTGAGCTAAATCCCCAAACCAGCCCCTCTTTTTTATTTCTTGTGTCTTCTAGGTTAAAAAGTGCTTTATGTCTGATCACCCCTCCCCTTTCAACCCAATTACATCTGGCTGGTCTGTTTATTATTCTTGCCGTGCAATCAATCATCCTTTTCACAGGTACGTCTTAATTTTCCGCAGCTTTGATTGTTAAAAGGACAGATAGTTTCTGAATCTCAGCTAAATCTGGACGCTTGCAACCCCAATTAAGATTAGTCACCAAACAAATGAATGAGTAAGATGAAGTTAGCTTCCAGTAGGTGACTTAGGGACTTGGGTTTATGTCTGCTCTATTTAGTTGGAGCAATAGTAAGCTACAGTTAATACTTGCTGAGAGGCTGAGGCTACATAGACTCGGGTTGAAATCCCAGCTGTGTGAGGTTATTTCTTCCCTCACGTCTGCTTCCTGATTTATTTATCTAGAGTAGTAATATCTACCAGGCTCACTAAAAATACTTCCCTTCATTTTGATTTTTCTGTCTCATTTCTGAGTTTGTGTTCACAAGACTCAAGGTTTATTGAAGTCTTTTTATTTTTTTTGATGGGAAAATCCTCTAGATATTTGAATGCCAGTTTCCTTAACAGTGTGAGCTCGTGTACCTTCCGTGCTTGGGAAGCAGCATGGCATCATCTGTTCTGTGGCACGCGGCTTCAGTTGACTCTCAGAGAGGCCACTTAATCTCTTAGGAGAGTTACTTAACTCCTTGGGCCTTAATTTCCTTATTTGTGAAATGGATATGGCAATAACACTTATCTTATGGAGTGGTTTCGGTAAAGACATGAATGCTTATAAAGCTTGCTGTGCACACAAGGCGCCAAGTACCTGGGTGGGTCAGAGACAGCGCTGCATGTTCCTTTAGTCTTGTTTTCCTCTTAGAGCCACACAGCAGCTGTATCTTCTTGGTTTCCTTGCAGTTATACTGGGGCCGTGCACCTGTTCTATCTGGAACTGTAAATGAGGTAAGGGAATGAGGGGTGTCATTTATGGGCAGAGCACTGCTGTGTTCATTGTAGAGAACACATGTTGAGATGCAGATTCACAGGATGATGATTGACTGGGTTCCTGAGGAGTTGTGTGGGCAGTGAGGTCATGGGCCATGTCAAATGGTTGTATCTGGCAGTGCCAGGAAGAAGGTGTATAAGGCAGACATCTAGATTAATGACAGGGGTAGCCATGGGGAGACAGATAACCAGAAAGTATGTGAAGAGACCATGCCTTGCTATTGCTGTGATAATTATGACATGTTTAAGAGGGCTGCTGAAATGCAATAAAACTCTTAGACTTTGCTACAGTGCGGGAGGAGTTAGGCAGGTCCTGCCTGAGCCCCTCCACCCCCATGGACATAGCAATATGGTCACTACAGTGCAGAAGGAGGTAGGCAGGTCCCACCTGAGCCCTTCCACCCCCAGGGGCAAAGCAATATGGTCCTTGAGGACCATCCCTGGTGAGTCACAAAATGCTGTCACTGTCCTGGAGCCCTGACACATGATGTGAATCAATAAGTACTTCCCACTCTTGGGAAACAAATTCTCAAGTATTGTTAAGCACCTAACAGGAAAATCTGCCTTCTGCAAATGTTCTTAGTGTCAATTTTCTCTTTTTAAATTTTTAATTATCCACACACTTCTCAGGTTGACACACTATGACCCCAAATAAGGAAATACTGGGCTGGAGAGATGGCTCAGTGGTTCAGCACACTGGCTGATCTTCCAGATGACCTTGGTTTGATTCCCAGCATCCATATGCCAACTCACTACCTGTTTGTAACTCCAGTTCCAGGGGATCTGACACCTCCCCACAGACATACATGCAGACAAAACACCAATACACATAAAATAAAAATGAATACATCATTTTAAGAAATTAAAACAAACAAACAAAAAAACTCAAAATAAATTCTGAGAAAAATACAGCCCAAGTATTAAGGCAAATGACTTAGAGGTCTAAGCCAGGCCAGCTTCATACACATATTCAGGCAAGTATGGGAAAAAAGAGTAAAACAGAATCCACAGCATGATTGCATCATTGCTCATATTTCTTGTGTGTTACTTCTCCATGCTTCTGTAATGCCTGCTTTAAAGAAAACGTCAGCATTGAAAAGCGTTCCCAAGTTTTCTTGGAATGATTAATAGCGCAATTCTGTATAGGAGAAGCAAATGAAATTCAGTGTTCAGAGGTGGGATACAGGAAGTCCGCTTCTTAGAGAACGCCTCACTGTTTGAGACAAATAGGACAGGTCATTTCTGATGATGAATTTTCAGTGTTGCCTTCGGGGTGGGGTGGGAAGGGAGGACAGAGCCCTGGGGTCTGCTGGAGTACAGTGGTACATTAATCACATAGTTGGAGATTCCATTAGAACTGAAGCCAGCACATAGCTTTGGGGAAGAGGGGTTACCAGGAATTGGTTCTCACGGTATCCGCCGACGTCACACTAGTGTGAAAAGTGACTTTCTCTCTCTGGTCAGGTTCTTCTTTTCCACCCACACCTTCTACAATGGCATCGGGCATCCATCCAAGCTGTGGACCAAGGCCGCTCGGTGTCTACCTCCTTTGTGGTATTAGGAGGCCGTGGAGGAGGGTCCTGGGCATGCGGTGATAATAGCTGTGGGGTCATGCCTTTGTTATTTTATCTGGAAAAATAGACACAATAATATTAAAATAGTGGGAAAGGATAGTTTCAAGGTATAAGCCTGTTGTCATCAGCACACAAGGAAAAGTTAGGGAAGAAATTTTTCTCTCTTTTTTTTTTTTTTTTTTTTTTTTGAGTTGAGATTTCTCTATATAGCCAAGGCTAGCCTTGAATTCCTGACCCTTCTGCTTCAGCCTCTGGAGTGTCAGAATTTTAGGTGTGCACTATCATGCCCAGTGAACAAACTCCTTTTCAAAAAGATTTGTTTTTAATTTTTTTTGTGTATGGGTGTTTTGCCTGCATGTTTGGCTTTGTGCCAAGTACCAAAGGAGGCCAGAACTGGAGTTAGAGAAAGCTGTGAGCCACCATGGATGCTGGGAACTGAGCCCAGGCTCCCTGGAAGAGCAACGAGTACTCTTAGCTGCTGAGCCATCTCTCCAGCCCCTGACAAGATCATTTCTAAGGAAAAAAATATTGAAGCATTTTTGGAGATTGAAGTGGTCGTTATTAGAATGGTAAATTGAAGTTTGACACTCCAGTTTTGTGTGTGTGCACAGCTGGGATTATTGTGTTTTAGAGACTTTTTTGTTGTTAGACTCAAGTTCCTTCTCTAATTCCATATTTTGTCAGACACATTGTTGAGGTAATAAGAGAGGCTTGTAGAAATATGTGCTCTGTAGCATAAACTCAAAACTTTCTGTGAGTATTTGGTTTTTGTTTTGTGTTGTTCAACAAGGCCATTTTCACTTGTAACATAACTACATAAATGAAGAAATTAATTTTTTAAAGGAAAGGTACTATCGAAGGAAGTAGCAAAGCAGAATAACATTTAGAGTTATATTTGGCTTTGTGAACAAATGATTTAATTTTGATTTTTCTTTTCAAGGCAGCGTTTCTTCAATAAGAGGCAAGAGAGAGGGGAATTTCTTTTCGGTGGAACTTAATCTGTAGCCATCTGCTGCTGGATCTCATTATGTTCTTCGAGTAATTAGAGTAATTAGGATGCGGCTTGTGCCATATAGTGTGGTCTTGGAAAGGGGGTTGCGCTATTTCAAGGCTTGCTTTGAGACACCAGAGATTAATGGCCTAATCTTTTAGGTAAACTGATGGAAGCTGAGAAAAGCATTTAAGCTGAGAAAAGAAGGGTAATTGTGTTTGTTTTGCAATAATATATATATATATATATATATATATATATATATATTATCTATATCTTATCATGATGGTAACTGTGTGTCTTGGCAAATGCATTTCAGTGAGTGTAACTCCAGAGGACACAGAGGAAAGGCTGGAGAGGGAAAGAGAAAGAAAATAGCAGGGGTCGTCCAGTGTTCATGGCAGAAACCTGGCCACAGGCTGGACACTGCCCATATTGGGGGGAAATGGCAGAAGGAGAAATCAAAGGAAATGGCAAAATTAGAGGTGTACAGAGTTTTCTGGGGAAGGCAGGTGGTGTGTGGTTTTCACAGCAAAGAAGAACAAGATCAGGTCCCCAAAACACCTGCATGTGTAAGCACCGTGGGGCCCCCAGGTTAGATTAAAAAAAACCACTCCAAGCTCTTTTGAGATGCAGGGGCCATTCCACATCCTGGGAGGGGCTTCCCATGAGGACTGACTGTTGTTGGTTTGTCTTTGGTCTTTTGTGTGTGTGTGGGTTGCCACCCAGCTACCAAATAAATCACACATGGAGACTTATTCTTACTTATAAATGCCCGGTCTTAGCTTGGCTTGTTTCTTGCCAGCTTTTCTTAACTTTATTATCTCATCTAACTTTTGCTGTTGGGCTTTTACTTTTCTCTAATTCTAATTACCTTTCATCATTTCTTTTTTTTTTTTTTTTTTTTTTTTTTTTGGTTTTTCGAGACAGGGTTTCTCTGTGTAGCTTTGCGCCTTTCCTGGAACTCACTTGGTAGTCCAGGCTGGCCTCGAACTCACAGGAGATCCGCCTGGCTCTGCCTCCCGAGTGCTGGGATTAAAGGCGTGCGCCACCGACCGCCCGGCTCCTTTCATCATTTCTTACTCCATGGCTTGCTATGTAGCTGGGTGACTGGCCCCTGGAATCTTCCTCCTTCTCTAGCTACTTCTTCCCTCCCAGATTTCTCCTTCTATATATTGTTCTTTGCCTGTCAGCCCTGGCCTATCCTTTCTCTTGCCTTGCTATTGGCTGTTCAGTTCTTTATTAGACCCTCAGGTATTTTAGACAGACAAAGTAACACAGCTTCACAGAGTTTGACAAATGCAACATAAACAAAAGTAACACACCTTAAAATAATATTTCTCAACAACTCCTTCTCCACTCGTTTTTCTTCATTGTGGTTGCCAGTACATGAGTAGAAATCTTCATTGTGAATATTGACCCCATCGTGCTGTTTGTCCAGCTGATCTGTCTCATGTCATTATATTCTTCAAGTCAGTCCACCCATGGCCATCAGATGTGCTGGTGAGAAATTCTACTATCCTTGTGTCTGTCACTCACATGGTTTTATTGAA